TAATCTCTTTCGCGAAAATTTCGCTCAGCCAACAAAAATGTGAACGAAAACGAAAAATTTCGTTCATTTCCCGAAAATGTTCTTTAAAAATGTTTGCAATGTGTTCAAAATTTTCACAAAATTCGTTAGAAATTTTCGCGAAATTCTCTAAATTCATTAAAAATTCGTTCAAAATCTTATTTTTTCGCAAAAATTTTCAACAACCCATATTTGTGAAATTTTAATCTTGTTTTACCAAAATTTTTAATTTTCGTTAAAACTTTTTGTTCAAGAACTGTTTAATTGAAATCAAAGTTGACAACTAAATTTGCTAATTTTAACATGCCTTACAAGCTATGCAACATACATAGCAATTGTTGCAGAAATATTTAAATAGAATTTAACTCTCAAAAAACTATTTACCAAATATTCATGCATATCAAACAAGATTCCCAGTTATGTTTAATTAGTCATGTTCAGTAGAACTTTAATATAGTGTTAACCACAAAGGATGAGACTTCAGAGACGATTGTATGGAATTTTTAATGTGTTTTGGAAAATTCATGATTCCCTGCAGGTGTAACCTTGTTTGCTTCTTTGCCAATCATTAAATAAGCCATAAGATTAATATATTCTGGACTTATTTAAGAGTTTTCGGTTGTCTTTCCAGGATGAGACTTAACACAAAATTCAGAATTTTTTTAGTCTTAGTTTAATTATTGTTCCCTGCAGTTTTAAGTATTCCTGGAACCGTGAGTTCCTGATTAAGTTGTACCTGGATTGATACGGGTATGAAAGACTTTTTTGGAGTAGGGCATTTACTACACATATACTTTTAATCAAATTTAGAACATTAATTTGATCAAATTGGGAAAATTGTTTGCCCCAAAATCTCAAGAAATGGAAATTACAATTATGTTTAAATATGGATTAAATGTTGTTAAAAGTTATTGCAAGTGTAATCTTGAAATGAATAATTATGTCAAATGTACGAAACCCCCCATAACATGCTCCTCTGCTCCTCATTTTTCCAGCACAGTGATTTTAAGTTTGTTTCCACTCAAAAAACGATGAGAATTTTTCCAACTACTTCTCAAATCCCAGTGCTCTAAAATGTACATGTCATTAGCTACAAAAAAGTGTAGGCGAGATAGTGAGGTAGAATCAAAGAATAAGGCGTTGCAACACTTTAAAGTCGACCCATACTTAAAAGATCGATTGGTACAGAAATAACCCGGCCCCCACTGATTGAAGCTTTTCATAATTATATTCATTTAACGAAGTTTGAGGCTAATATATAAATCAAATTAGAATATGCTATATTCATTTTCCCGAGATAAATTGATTAAAAAGTATTAAATGAGTTCTGGAAATAAAAAACTAAGAGCTAAGTACAGTGTACCCCACTAAACATCAAAAATAAAAGACGACTAAGAATATGTGGGTTAAATGCTTCTGATATATAATATAATCTATTGTAACAGTTCGTAGAAAATATATTAAACAAATCAAGGGCTATTTACTTTGGAATAAAATGATCAATAACTTTTTGGGTAGTTTTTAAATTGTCAATTATTTGTGTTTTGTGGATTTTCTTCCAGGTTTTATTTCTAGATGACCAGAGTGGAAGTGTTCTGTTTGTATGCTGGTATGCTGGTTTGTTCTCTTCTCTTGACCAGCCCCCTCATATACTCTTCCACCCTGTATCCTTTAACAAAGATGATGGTATGTATATTTTGTATCAGACACCCTAATCTAAACAAGCAAAGCTGCGTATTGGTAGAATTTAATCACGTTTTGGTTTGATTTGTTTTTAATCGTTGTGGTTAGTTTTACAAAAGAAATATATAGACCAGTTCCTGTGTATAGTTCCTTAGATTTTAAAAACGCTTCCAATGCTTAAAAACTGTATTCTGTTAAAGTTTTCTTATTCGCAATATTTTAATCCTAGCCTAACAATAGAAAACAATCGATCGTTTTTCTTTCAACGCATTCGTTTTTTGCTCGTTTTTTGCACATATTTTCCTCTTAAGGTCAAAATTTAGCATAGATACAGGAAATGCTTTAAAAAATACAATCTTAAAATTTGTAAAACTTCTCATATTTATTTACTTATGGAACCAATTCATAAAGTCCAAAAACCCTCAAAAGCATTCTCATCCCATACAGCAAGCAAGCTGTGACTAGTTCAATTCCAANTATGCCGACTGTGCGTAATTTATTTGGTCTTCTGCCTCTGCAGGTTTATTGTCAACGAAAAACCCTTTAATCTTGAAAAGACGACATCTAGTGTCCTATCTGTTATTTTAATGGTTTTCTAATTCAAATTTTCACCGATCATTATTTCTGAATATAAAAATCATGATGTAATGGTTGTTTTTCTTTATTAAAAAGTTAAGAACTCTGTCCATTTCTTCATTGTTTTAGCGACATAAATCCGCTGCAATTTGTTTTTCTTGCAAACTTTTCTTCAAATTAATTTTCACGTTTTTAAATTTAATCCTGAGAGAAAAATGGCATGTTTGATTTAAAATCTTCATTAATCAAGGGGCTAAAGGATTATAATATTGTGAATAAAGTATGACATAAATATAAATTATCTAGAATTTTCTAATACTGTAATTTTCTCTTGAATAAAGTTTCTCTTTAATCCTGTAATCCTAAAAGGATTATGCTTTAATATAAAATCTGCAGTTACTAATGGAAGTTTAAGAACAGATGTTATTGTTTAAAGGGAGTGTTCGGGAAAAAATAAAAGGAAGGTATTGGAAAAAACTAAATCCGAATCTTGGAAATAGACTGGGCGAGGGGGGAGTGCAGAAGTCCTCAATGATTAATCACTGCCACACAAACGTGCTTTGCGGCATGCGCGCTCCTCAATTGGTAATCTCCATCACCTAAATTGGTAATCACCGTAAAATCCTGTTTTCTGAGATTTTAGCTTGATGCATTTTTAGCACAATTTTCAACATCTATCTGGGTTTCATGGCATCTGTATTGACTTACACTAAATTTTCAATTTGTTTTCAGATTGGTTTGGTCAACAAAAACTGAGAAACCAAGCATAGTTTATTTTAGCCAAATCTTAGATCCAATCGCTGATTTAATGACTACAATTCATGATTGGAGTTAAGATATTGAAAGGTCGGGCTGCCTGTTTAGTAAAAATTATCTCAATGCCCTCAAAGTAATATCCATCTTCATTTAAAAGATATTTTCTAAAAACCTTTACAGTTTAAAATTTTGTACTCGCCTACTCAAGTTCAACATCTACAACTAATAAAATGAATAGAGAAAGAACAAATATTTTGAAAAATCTATCTCATTGCACTCATAATTGAAGATGAAGTATTATGTTCACTAATTATTTCAGAGCTTCAATGCGAATTGTGGAGCGCGCATGCGCAAAGGTTCAAAAACGTAATTTTATTTTTAGCACTTCATGTGGAAAATTTATAGTGAGAAGCAATAAAGAAAGCTTTAAGAATATTGTACACCTATAGGGCCATTAACAGAGGTCAATATGGTCTTATTTCTAAGAAATAAACGTCGATTTAATGTTACCCTTTTTTGTCTGTTTAGCAATTGAGATGGCGGAGATTACCAATTGAAGAGCGGGCATGCCGCAAAACCCATTTGGTTGGCAGTGATTACTCATTGAGGACTTCTGCACTCCCCCCTTGACTGGGCTCTTTCCATTTTTTGTGTTCAACCGTTATCATCCTTATAGACTCATAGCCATAGATGTAAATTAGTAGCAATCGAATCCGAATTTTTATCATGCATCATGTATCACATTTGATAATTACAATAACAGTTTATTATTTTGGTTTTTAATGTCATTCATACATCTATTAGAAATAACTTAACTATGAGGAAAAATGGAAATATTCAGCATTTTGTAAATTTTGTGATGGAAACAAAAACAAAGGAAGCATATGGCGTAGGTTTTAGTAAACCTTTCCAATTCACCATGGTACCCTTAAAAGCTTTGTCTGATCTGGAAGAAGGAATGATATAAACAATGAATTCTAAATTGTGGATTCTCAAAAATAAACAACAAGCTGATATCTTGCTGCAGAGACAAAAGAAGAAATTGTTAGAATTAAAAACCAAGAAAAAAAGGGCTTGTCAACTAAAAACGACGATATTTTCCACAATATTAATAAGATAAAGGTTTGTCTTTGTCTTTGTCTTTTTTAATCGAACAGACATGGTCCTCTTTAAATGAAGAGTCACTCTTGAAATTACATCAATAGTCTTATTGTCCATTAATTAGTTTTTAATATCAGAGAGAGTTAGATACATTTATTCAGGTTTTTGTAAACACTAAACTAGATGGTAAAAACATTTAACCGCTTTTTCAAATGTAAAATTAATCTTTCTATTTTCATTTTTAATAATCTTTTGGATGAAATGGTCTAAATAATCCAAATTTGTAAAAAGTTTTTGAGACAGAGTGTCCCAAAAACATTGAAATAATGCGTCTTCTTTCTATATTTTTTTTTGGTCCACACTACACTGCAAAAGAAATTGATTTATTTCATTTTAGACAACATTAACAATTGATTGATTGATTAATACAATTGTAGACAAAAGACAGTATAGAAAATTTATCAGTCGATTTATACAGCTTTGAAGAATATATACAATTAAATTGATTGATTGACAAATAAAGACAATTGAGCAACTGTTTATTTAATTGATTGATTGATTAATTGCGTAATGTTTTAGACCAAAGGGAATAGCACCATGCTNATCGTCATCGTCATTGTCATTGTCATCGTCATCGTCATCGTCATCCTTATCTTCATCTTTATCCACATGTCCTCACCCTCATCCACATCCTCATTCTCATCCTCATCCTCATTCTCATTATAATCCTCATCCTCACATCTTCACCTTCATCTTTAAACTCATTCTCATTTTTATTCTTATTCTCATCTTCATCTTCATCCTCATCCTTATCTTCATCTTCATTCTTATCTTCATCCTCATCCTCATCCTCATCCTCATCCTCATTCCGTCCTCTTCCTAATTTTCATTAATGTTTAGATTCTCAAATAACAACATATAGTTTTTTATGATAAATTTTTCTTTAGGAAAACCGAATAAGTACCCCTAGCTTCAAACAGAGACAGAATCGTACGAATAAAATTCTTATTCTTATCTCGGCCATATTCTGTATAAGGTAATACTTACCTTAAAATCTAGGGCTGGACACATTCAGACTTATAATACAGGGTGTCCCAATAAACATTGGAATTCAGTGAAGAATTCGATATCGTCTTTTTAAATAATTCTTTGATTTAGTATAATGATTGATACCTTCTGAGAAAGCTGTAATCTGTAAGAGTCTCGTCTGCTATGTTAACAATTTGTTTGCTTATGTTTTGACTGCATACGGTTGTACTTAGTAAAACAAGAAAATTGCAGTATACAAACAGAGTAAACTTTTCCGTCTTCACTGTTCATCGTGCGGAGACATTATAAACACATCTTTACAGTCTTTTACCCTTTTCATAAAAAAAACTCTGGAAGACATAGTAATGAATTTTGGCTTTTGAAATTAGGTATTACAATGCTAATTCTATACAAAGACGATATCCAAGTCGTCACTGAATTCCCTTGTTTTTTTGGGACACCCTGTATGATATTCAAAAATTGCGAATCAAGAAATCCTGACAAATTTGTTGAACCCATTATCCTAAATAAGTAAATGATTTGATAACCGTTTCAGATAATATATACAGACAGTCAGAGCTGAAAACTTTAGAATGGAATATTCCTAATCCCGATCGGTAAATTAATCTGGAGATTAATATAAAGAGGAGAACAAGCAATATTTAATCTGGAGATTAAGAAAAAGAGTTGATCAAGCATTAATCCAGTTATCCACCATTCTAAAGTTACCAGCTCAGAAAAAATTCCCTTATTTGAAATATCTACATGTAATATATTTCTTAGCTGGCTACCTTTCTGTTTCTTCTCATTGCTATCTGAAACAACAACGCTCTTCAAGGATTCAGGTAATTCTGCCAATAAGATTACTACATTTTTCTAGATCGAATTGGTAGAGGCCTTACAAAACCTTTCCTAAAGCTGCTAAGAACTGTAAGTTGAAAGTTGAAACTACATTTATTAAAAAAGGACCAGGCCAAGGTTGATTTTTGTTGAAGGAATCTGAATATTTTAAATCACAATAAAGCTGTTTAAAGCCAGTTCTGAACTTCTGGCTTCTAGAGCTAACAAATATGATTTTAGAAGATTTAGCTATAAAACGATGTAATGAATGCTTCATTCCCGCTTACATGTGACTATGGCTATATAACAATATTATGTTGGCAGCTAACGGTTTCATTTTGGATTTTAAAATATTTTGGAAAACCATAAAAAAGGGTAACCATGCAGACACACGACAAAGCAAAAAGTTTACAAAGGAAGCTCTGTAAGTTTAAATATTTTTGAATTATAGTGAAGGCACTCCCTCAAAACTAAAATGGTTAGGTGTTAGAACAGAAAAAATCCTTTAGAATCCAAAATAAACACGCGAAAGTAATCACATGCATTTCTTTAAAAAAAACTCAAACTAGCTCCATTTGCAAATGGGAAATAAAAAAACTGTCAGAAACAGCTGTTGCTGGGGGCTATGTGAGAGTATTAATGATTGTTCAGAGATGTTGATGACTTGGTACTTCATCACACACATGATTGGTATGTCCAGCCTGTTCACCAACCCTCTCCTTTACGCATTCAACAACGAGGTGTTCTCCAACAAGATCAAGAGTATCTTCTACAAAAACTCTGTTGGTTTAGCTTCATCTCAGGGCCAGGAAAAGGAAACTCTTGTTCCAGAGAGCATGAAGAATTATAGATCCATTCTGCCAATCAGGTTGGTTTAGAATTTTAGATTTATAAACTTACTGTTTTCAAGGGCGCAATTACTTCACGCTTCTAAAAAATTGGCGTTTTACCTAATACATTTTATAAATTTATCAAGTTCGTAGATTTTTCTGATTTATTGGCAGATTTGGAGGCCATTTCTTTATATTTACCGGCCAAAATATTAAATCTAAAATATTAAAATACAATAGAAAATTTGTAGATATTAGAAAAATATATTTGTAAATACTCAGGAGGGGAGAAGAGGGGCTAAATGGTAAGCTAGAAATAACTCAACCGAACCATACCAACATGTACCAGGCATCTGCATGTACCAGGACAGACCAGGTACATGTACCATGCAGTACTAGTATGAACCAGGCATATGCATGTACCAGGACAGACGAGGTACATGTACAACCCAATACTAGTATGAACCAGGCATCTGCATGTACCAGGACAGACGAGGTACATGTACAACGCAGTACTAGTATGAACCAGGCATCTGCATGTACCAAGACAGACGATGTACATGTACCACGCAGTACTAGTATGTACAAGGCAAATAAATTCAAGCAACAAAACTAACAGAAACCTGGTAACGGCTCTAGTAGGTATTAGCCGTGTACACTGTTCACTGTACAGGCATCAGTAACTTGCAGTACTTGCATTGTGGATCAGGAACCTGCACAATGCCGTACTAGCAGTACAGTCCAGGAACCTGCACCATGCCGTACTAGCAGTACAGTCCAGGAACCTGCACCATGCCGACTAGCAGTACAGTCCAGGAACTTGCACCATGCCGTACTAGCTGTACAGTCCAGGAACCTGTACCTTACCATGCCGTACTAGCTGTACCGTCCAGGAACCTGCAATATTTAGTACCAGCAGTCCAAACCAGACACCTGGTCCCTGATTAAGCACAGGATTAAAAACGATGTAATTCCAAAACCAGAAATCTGATATATGAATCATCAGTCCAGGGTCATGTCGACCAGAAACAGTTGTATTATGTAGAACCAGCACAGAAAAGAAACCTGTATTATGCAGTTCCAGCACAGACCAGAAACCTGTGTTATGTAGAACCAGCACAGACCAGAAACCTGTATTATGTAGTTCCAGCACAGACCAGAAACCTGTATTATGTAGAACCAGCACAGACCAGAAAGCTGTAATATGTAGAACCAGCACAGACCAGAAACCTGTATTATGTAGAACCAGCACAGACCAGAAACCTCTATTATGTAGAACTAGCACAGACCAGAAACCTCTATTATGTAGAACCAGCATAGACCAGAAACCTGTATTATGTAGTTCCAGCACAGACCAGAAACCTCAATTATGTAGAACCAGCATAGACCAGAAACCTCTATTATGTAGAACTAGCACAGACCAGAAACCTCTATTATGTAGAACCAGACCAGAAACCTGTATTATGTAGTTCCAGCACAGACCAGAAACCTCAATTATGTAGAACCAGCATAGACCAGAAACCTGTATTATGTAGTTCAAGCACAGATCAGAAACCTCTATTATGTAGAAAGAGCACAGACCAGAAAGCTGTAATATGTAGAACCAGCACAGACCAGAAACTTGTATTATGCAGAACCAGAAACCTTTATTATATAGAACCAGCACAGACCAGAAACCTGTATTATGTAGTTCCAGCACAGACCAGAAACCTCTATTATGTAGAACCAGCACAGACCAGAAACCTCTATTATGTAGAACCAGCACAGACCAGAAATCTGTATTATGTAGAACCAGAACAGACCAGAAACCTGTATTATGTATAACCAGCACAGATAAGAAACCTGTATTATGTAGAACCAGCACAGATAAGAAACCTGTATTATGTAGTTCAAGCACAGATAAGAAACCTGTAATATGTAGTTCCAACACAGACCAGTCTTTTTTTGTATTCTGCTCCTCTATCAGTCCTACTTGTAAAGAGTTTACAATCGGAATTCCGTTGCGAAGAATCAAACGCTGCAATTGCGCGCAATGATTGCTACCGCTTGCGCAAATTTCATTGCGCGGAATTGTGCTAAAATTGCGAACAAGGAAGCAATTAAATATTCGCCGAATCGCACAGAATTGCGTGCAACGGGATTTTTTTTCATCTTAAAATTAATAAATTAACTGTGTTTATGGCTTACAAATTTATGCAGCAGATACAAGAATGTACACATCTCTGTAGATTTAAAAAATCACTTGTTTCAACGGTTTTCAAATTTTAAAGTTTCTTGAGGTTAAGATACTAATTAAATTTTCAATTTGAAACATTTTTCATTTTTCGTTGGATGAACATTAAAATGGAAACTCTTTTTGGTTAAAACAAAAAGGTAAGGTTTGTTTAATTAAAATTTGATATTTTGCTACAGGTGAGAACCAGAAAAGTATATGTACAGAAGGACATATTACAGTGTATTTGATGTCGTAACAAAGCAACAAATTTAATTACCAACTTATCAAATCACTTATTCAGTTAAATGGGTCTATCAAGTATCTGTAACTGTATTTTATTCCATAATGTTATCATGTTATCAAGTGTCTGTAACTGTATTTTTTCCATAATGTTATCATGTTATCAAGTATCTGTAACTGTATTTTATTCCATAATGTTATCATGTTATCAAGTATCCGTAACTGTATTTCATTCAATAATGTTCTTATGTTATCAAATATCTGTAATTGTATTTTATTCAATAATGTTATCATGTTATCAAATATCTGTAATTGTATTTTATTCCATAATGTTATCATGTTATCAAATATCTGTAATTGTATTTTATTCCATAATGTTATCATGTTATCAAGTATCTGTAATTGATTTTATTCCAAAATGAATTTATGAAAATTAAATATTTATATACCATGAGGTTGTAAAAAATGAGCATATGTCTGATTCCAAGTAAGATAGATTTTTCCTGCAATTTTGCATTAAAACTAAATATTCTAAACAAATATTTCTAACCAACATGTTACAGGCAAGTTACAGGATATCCCACAAACATAGAAAGAGGCGGCCTTAAAGTCGTCTTTGCCCTTGAATAAATAAAAACATTCTAGAATCTTGTTAAGTAATAAAACCCTGATTATATTGGTTAAAAGAATTCGTAATATTTAATTGATTTCAATGTGTGCAAATTTCTCAATTTCACAAAAATAAAAAATTTCATGGATTTTCCTGTTTTTATTGATGTATTTTAAAATGTTTATATAGTCGACATTTTTTGGAGCTTTTTTTCTTAATTTGGACCGTCCGGCGTCCATTTACAAACATTTAAGCCAGATTACTGAAGCTGTTTTGACGTTTGATTGGATTAAAACTATAAACATAAAGACAAGATGTAAATGTCATACGTGGTACGTGCAATTTAAAAGTGTGTATTAACATTTCATATTTGTAAAATTGTAAATTGTTCACAAATACATAGGGTGTCCCACGAAACATGTCTCCTCCCATAATTTTCAAAGTTGTTTGATACCCAAGAGAATAATAAAAAATATTATATCGCTGTCACATTATAGTACAATTGACTTCAAAGTAAAATATATAATTAGGCAAAAGATTTTTTAAGTCAAAATAAACTGCAAAACGTCTACAATTTCTAATACTTCAATGTAAATACATTCAAAACTATTTAAACACTGTCAGGTTTCGTCGAACACCCTGTATCTGTCTGTATAAAAAATATTATTCATAAAATGTTGATTGTAACTACAGGGTGTCCCACGAAACATGACAAAAGCAAGACGACTTGAAAGTCGTCTTTGGTATTTGAATTTATTTGTGACATTTAGTCTTCTATCTACTTTAACATGTATGATTCTTGAAACAATTATCACATAATTCTCCTAGCCCTGGCATTTCCAAAAAGTGGTCTGCGTTTTTTGTGCTTTCAATATTACCTGAGATATAAAGAGTTTGGTTCAGATTTCAATTTTGTTAAATAAAAGCAAAATTGTCGAAATCTGAACGAAATTCTTCATATCTCGGGCAATATTGAAAGCAC